CTGCACGTCGAATGGCCCCACGCCGCCCGGCTCGCCGCCTCACACGCGGGCGCCACCGACGCCGCCGCCGCCGCCGCCGCCGCCGTCGGAGCTGGTGTCGCCGTAGCCTCCGCCGCCGTTAGCGTCGCCGTGTGCGTCGCCGCGGTCGTCGTCGTGATCGAGGCTTCGCATCCTACAGGTTCTCGAAGCGCCAGACGGAGCCATCTGGAGGCCTCTCGGGACCTCCGGCTGGAAACCTCTGGGGGCCTCCAGAGACATCCGAAGACCACCGGGGTATGAAGAGCTTGGTAGCCACAGCGGTCGTCATCGTCGCCGTCGCCGTCGCTGTCTCCGCCGCCGCCGCCACCGCCGCCGTCGTCGTCCTCGTCGTCGTCGTCGTCATCGTCGTCTTCGTCGGCGTCGTCGGCGTCGTCGTCGACATCGCCTTCGGCTCTAGGCGTCATTCGAATATCTTCCGCAGTCGTCAACGGTCCCTGGGAGGGGAGGAGGATACCCTCGAGTGAATCCGACAGGGCGAGGCAGGAGGGAGGAGCAGGAGATCTCGGGGTCTCTGAAACCGTCTTGAAAGCTGCTGAAATACGAAAGGCGAATCTGCTAAAATTGTAAGTGTTACGAAGGGAATGGGACGATTTTTGCGCTTTGAAGGCCCCTTGGAAAGCTTTTTGGGGTGCCTTGGGGGTCTTTAGGGCCGTCCTTACGCAATTGGAGTCCCTCTTGGAGCGCTCTTGTGCTGTCTGGGGCCTCCCTTGAGCCTTTCTGATGACCCCTCGGATCGCTCTGGGCACGAAGGAAGCGGGTCCTGGAGACGAGGGGCCCTCGAGTTGTTCCACCGCTCTCTTGGGCCCCTCGGGCCCGGGGTCGTGGTCAACACTACGCAGCATGTCGAGCTGGTCCTGGGGAAAGCCCTGGGGTCAGGTTCCGACATCCGAGCCCTGCCAACCATCGATCCTCCTGCACCGATGGGAGGCTGGGGCAGGGGGCGGATGACGCCACGGGTTCGACGAGATCCAACCCCTGCTCCTGCCGCCCACGAGTTGCCTGAAACGTTGATCGGCGAGGGTTGGGTTCGGATTTTGTTGCCGACGAGGTTCGGTCCCGTTTCCCCCAGAAGCCCTTCCCCCGGCAGCGCCACGGGGGGTGTCACCCAACGAACCCCCCTGGACCACCCAGACCACCCAGGACTCACAAAACGACGCCCAACAAAAGTCAAAAACTGATTCGAGCCTTGCAGCTGTCAAATAGTCAAACTGGTTCGGAAACTAATTCGAACACCTTACAGCAAACAGTCAAAGCTGATTCGAGGTCCAAGTCAGTAAAAAGGTCAAAACGTCCCAGGGTGTCCCTAGGGGGCCCCAGTGGTGACCCGCGCTGGCACTGCCTGACTTTCTTTCCCTCATGGCGAGGTAGGAGGTATGACAGCGGCCTGAAGCCAGGTTCGGGGCATGTCTAGCCTATCCCTGCCTCCGTGTCGGAAGGCACGGCCACAATCGGTCGAGGTTTCCTCCGCGTCTGTCGCGCAGAGGCGCTCCCCCAGGGGAAGCCTCGACCAGGCCAAAAGCTCAGGGGATGCGAAGGGTGCCAGGAGCTCCAGCAAGTTACAGCTGGCTGGCCGACCATCCGAGAGCGTACGCGAGCTTTGACGGTCCACTTTGAGAGCCCAAACTTGTGTTCTGTGCGTCGGATTATTGCGCTTGGTTCCGTGCTGTTGCGGCACGGCTGCCAACGTGCTGATGCAGCTCAACTTGGTTCAACCGGCTATTCCGCGCTGACGTTCAACAACAAGTATGCGGCTTCGCTCTCCAAAACGTCAGATGACCTCAAGGCGATTCATCGTGCTTCACAGGCTTCGAAAACAAGCAACCGAGCTATATGGGGTATCCCACCGGAAACTTGCAGGACCCCGTAGTTCAGCTGGGACTTGTCAAACCAGGACGTTGGCGGACCCGAGGAAAAAATATTTGCCGTCTCCCGAACCATTCTCCATCCAATACCCGTTCTCCTAAGGAACATCCTCCAAGGGCCTGGTTTGCGACATCCTGGTTTTCAGGGCCTTGAGACTTCGTCGAAGGCTTCCCGCTGGCTCCTCTGCTCCCTCTGCACTCCCACCGCTCCCCCTCCACCCCTTCCTGAACCCCCTCACCCCCTCATCGGCTCCCTCTCCCTGCCATCCCTCCCTGTGACCATCCACCTCCTCCTCCTTCCTCCCTACCCCTCCTGCTGCTCACCCTCCTCCTCGTCATCCCTACCGATATTCCCATCATCACCATCAGCAGCAACAGCAGCAACATCGGCAACCTCATCGTAATCATCGTCGTCATCATGAAATTCATCATCAGCAGCAGCAGCAGCAGCAGCTGCTGCATCGTCATCATCATCATCATCATCATCATCATCATCATCATCATCATCATCATCAGCAGCATCATCATCGTCATGGTCACCGTCACCATCGCTACCATCATCCTCAGCAGCAGCATCATCACCATCACCATCATCATCACCATCATCATCATCAGCAGCAGCAGCAGCAGCAGCGGCACCATCATCATCATCATCATCATCATCATCATCATCATCATCAGCAACAGCATCTGCATCATCATCATCATCATCACCATCATGCTTACCGTCATCGTCGTCATCGTTAGCATCATCATCATCCTCGTCATCATCATCAATACTTTTCGTCATCGTCATCGGCATAGCTATCATCCTCATCCTCATAATCATAATCATCCTCATCTTCATCCTCATCCTCCTCGTCATCAGCATCATCATCACCACCATCATCACCATCATCATGATCATCATCACGATCACCATCATTATTTTCATCGTCATCCTCGTCCTCGTCCTCCTATCGTCGTCGTGGTCGTCGTCATCGTCGTGCTCGTACGTCGTCGTCCTCGTCGTCGTCGTCGGCGTCGTCGTCGTTGTCGTCGTCGTCGACTTCGGCATCGTCATGGTCAGAGGAGGAGAATCGGCGAGGGGAACCGAGGAGAGGAGAGAAGGACGACGAGGTGAAGAGGAGGACGAAGAGAGGAGGACGAGAAAGAGAGGAGGACGACGAAAGGAGGGGAGAGGAGGAGAACCGAGAATCAGAGAGGAGAGGAGGACCGACGAGGACCGCGAAGACCCTGGCATGGCGGAAAAGGGGGCGGCGCCTGCACCGCCAGCGATCGCCGCCGGCGAGGGCACCACTTCTGGGGCCTCGCGGTGCGCGTCCGGAGGGCCGCTCCTGGGCCGGCAGGCCGGCGGGGAGAGTAAGAGCCCAGGAGGGGAGTGCGAGGTTCGAGGCTCTCTTGGTCCACCTGGAGAAGGCGAGGATTGGGCAATGCGCGTCCTTCCTTTCGGATTGCGCTCGCTTCTGAGTGTGCTCGCTGCTGACTGTTCCGGGCCCCCGTGGTGGCCAGGAGGAGGCCCAGGACAGAACAACTAGAAATGAAAGGATCTTGGCCCCTAAGAACAAATCAAAGAACTCTCGGATAATTATAATTAAGTCGGGCCTGTCCCCCTACAAGGGGACCTTTGACGAAAAATGAAGAATACTACAATAGATCCCCAAATGGTTAAACAATATACTCCAAAAATAGTCCCCCGACGATGTTTTGACTATTTGTGGATATTCCTCCTGCAGAGGGACAGGCCCGACTTAAAATCAGAACCGAGCAGTGTGTAATGCTTCGACCCTTTCGACGCCCGAAATGGGTTCGGAAAGAATGGGCACAATGCGCAACAACAGATGTTGTCCCAAACCAACAGCGGCCGCTGTTGGGCAGGCGGCCTCCTGTCTCGAATGGACACGGGCCGCGGCGGCGTGGACAGCGAACCCTGTTCAAGATGAACAAGAACTGCTGTTGGGCATTGTACCCGTTCTTTCCGTACTCCAGATTTCGTAATAAAAGGGGCCGCGAGACCCATTCGGGCGTCCAGAGACCCAGTGCTCACGCTCGCGGGGCCGCGATCCCGGGCCACGGCTCGGGCCTGCGGGGGCCACGGCTCGGGGCGATGCAGGGCCCGCCCTGGGAAGAGGCGCTCGACGGGGCGCGGCCCGAGGGAGCCACGGCGGCCCCCGGGAGCTCTTGAAAAAACCTCGGAGGACTTTTTGGGAACAAGCGCCCTACGCGTCGTTCGTGTCTAATCGCGCTCCCTGCTGACTGTGCTCGTTGCTAGTCGTCCCTGGCCCTCCAGTGGCCAGGAAGGGGCCCATGATGGCACAATTAGAAGTGAAAGGGTCTTGGCCCCCCAGGAAAATCAAAGAACTTTCGAGTAGTTAGAAATGAACCGTGTGCATCGTGATCTTCCAGCCATTCTGCGCTCCAGTTGTTCGAAAGCGTGAGCCCCTGGAAGTCTGGGCCACTTCCCTATAAGGCCCGCTTTCTGTCTAGACCCGTTTGTTGTGTCGGTCCCACGGCACGTTGGGGGCCCCCGGAGGCAGAACAGTAGCCTCAAAGCAGCCGCTCCGATTGCTGCCGGATCCCCGGATCTCCGGCTCCCCATCGGGATTCTGTCGCTGCGCGATCCGACGTCTCGACACTCGGCGTCTCGATTTTGCTCAAGACATCCAGCGTCTCGGCCTCATCCGAGACACGGGCCCCAAACCTCTCGACCACTCCCCCCGGGACCAATTCTTCCTCCCAAGCAGGTCCTGTTGGCCGGGAAGGGCTCTGAGAGGCCCACAGCGATGAAAAACCTCCGTCTCGATGCGTCCGAGCCGCCGGAAGCCCGGGCACTCCACACTTCGCAATCTCAAAAGGAGGGGGCCACAACCCTCCCGGACGAGCAGTGCTAGAACCCCTCCCCAGACCAGCCATGAAGTGGCGGCATTTTGCCCAGACCCCTCCAAGACAGCTCAAATCAGACCCCCCCCCCCCACCCAAATGTGACCCTCCCCCCCACTCTCTTGACGTGGCGACGACGACGATGACGAGGACTAGGACGACGACGAGCGTGCCTGAGCTCGTCCTCCCGCCCTTGGCGGGCGCGCGCGGGCGGGGCGC